TCTGTGTGTCTGTGTGTCTGTGTCTGTCTGTGTGTCTGTGTCTGTGTGTCTGTCTGTGCCTGTGTGTCTGTGTCTGTGTCTGTGTCTGTGTGTGTGTGTGCGCGTCAGGGAGAGAAGACGCTGCAGGCCGTCCCCGGAGCCAAGCCCGCCATCATCACCGCATCGCGGCCCATCACCAAAATGATCGTGGCGCAGCCCAAGAGCCTCAGCGCCGGCGTCCAGCCGTCCACCAAAATCATCCCCACCAAGATCGTCTACGGACAGCAGGGCAAAACACAGGTCAGACGCCCGCTTATTACAGGCAACTACTACCAGAAAAACACACACACACACACACACACACATATATATATATACAGTATATGTTCAGGATTCTTTGATGAATAGAAAGATCCAAAGATCAGCATTTATCTGAAATAAAAAGCTTTTGTAACATTATACACTCTACCATTCAAAGGCTTGGAGTCAGTATAATTTTTTTTTTATTTTGGGGGAAAGAAATTATAGAAATTAATACTTTTATTTAGCAAGGATACTTTAAATTGATCAAGAGGCATGATAAACACATTTATAATGTTACAAAAGATTTCTATTTCAGATAAATGCTGTTCTTTTGAACTTTCTATTCATCAAAGTCTACTCCGCTGTTTTAAATATGAATAATAATCAGAAATGTTTCTCGAGCAGCAAATCAGCATATTAGAATGATTTCTGAAGATCATGTGACACTGAAGACTGGAGTAATGATGCTGAAAATACAGCTGCGCATCACAGAAATACATTACAGTTTAACAGATATTCACATAGAAAACAGCTGTTTTAAATTATAAAAATATTTCAAAATTTTACAGCTTTTGCTGTATTTTTGATCAAATAAGAAACTCATACAGTGAGTCAGATTCCAGATTTTCAAATAGTTGTATCTCAGCCAAATATTGTCCTATCATAACAAACCATACATCAATGGAAAGATTATTAATTCAGCTTTCAGATCTCAATTTTAAAAAATTGACCCTTATGACTGGTTTTGTGCTACAGGGTCACATATCAAGAGTGAAGACAGTAAACATAATGACTTTAATGATGGAAAAAAACTACAATCCCATAAAGCATTGCAAATTGACATAAAATGATAAATACAGGCTAAATCTATTGATTTCATGATGTTATGTAAGTGTATTGCATCATTTTGCGGTGGTTTCTTCTCAGAGTCATGGGTAATGGAGTTTTCCACCAGGAATTCTGCTGTTAAACGTGATTAGTTTCACACAAGATGAAATAATGCATGCTGACGGCTTCAACAGAAGCAAGTGCGATCGATTAACAATCACATCGCTCACAGTTAGTCTGTCTTCAACGCTTTATGAGTTATTGTTACAGATGAGTTCTCCACTGGAGAAAATAAAGAGATTTTTACTCTGACTGCTGCGCTATAATCAATCATTAGTCAGACAAGCAGCATTGTAGTGTCGTGATTATTCTAGATCTCTGGTTGTCTGTGATGACTGCTAATGATCAGTAGGGCTGGGTCTTGACACAGATTTCACGATTCGATTCTCATTCACAAGCTTGCGATTCGATTCGATTCAATATCGATTATTTTGGACATATATCAGGTACAGTACATGCCAAATTTTCTCAAGGAAAACAAATCTCAACTAATGCTGTAAAATATGCATGAGAGTCAGTTGGTACTACATTATAATATTGAAGGTTAAAATTAATGAAGTTTTTACAATAATAAAGTTACAATTACATATTAATACTTCTACTTCAATTCGTTTTAAAAAATATATATAAACATTTAAATGGTGGCTGTCATAAAAACTTGATGGATTTATTCAAACATAAATTAAACATTGAAGAACAGTAAAAATTATAATGAATATGTTATATGGTGCATATATTTAGCAAAATGCCCCTCTCTACAGTTTATTTTTCTATCTGACTAATGAGTTTATGGTCACCGAATACGTTTTTCTGAGGTAAGTGTGACGTTACATTGTTTACAAGCCGTTATATTGAGATATCGTTCCGTAAAAATGAGAATCGATTAATATCGAGATATCTATATTTTTTACCCAGCCCTAATGACCTAATGATGGTGTTGTGTGCAGGTCCTGATCAAGCCCAAGCCCATGGCGTTTCAGACGGCGGTGGTGAGTGAACAGACCCGTCAGCTGGTGAGCGAGACGCTGCAGCAGGTCTCACGCAGCGCCGGATCCGGCCAGGACGACTTGTCCTCGTATACGGAGAGCAGCCCGGTGTCGTCTGACAGCACTCACGGTCAGTACACGCAGATCACGCGCTTCAGTGTGGACTCACCAATGCATCTCATCTGGACATGACTCTTCGTTTACTCAAAAGCGAGTCGTCATTTACTCTCCTTCAGGATTTTGAAAAACTCGTATGAGTTTGTTTCTTCTGCTGAACACAACAGAAGAATGTGTTCAACCAATCAGTTGTCGGTCCCCATTGACTTCCATAGTATTTTTTTCCATACTGTGGAAGTCGATGGGAAATATCTTCTTTTGTGTTCAGCAGAAGAAAGAAACTCATAAAGTGAGTAAATATGTGTTCCTGCAGCACAAAAGCAGTCTTAAGTCGCTGGGGTATATTTGTAGCAATAGCCAACAATACATTGTATGGGTCAAAATTATAAATTTTTCTTTTATGCCAAAAATCATTAGGATATTAAGTAAAGATCATGTTCCATGAAGATATTTTGTAAGTTTCCTACCGTAAATATATCAAAACTTAATGTTTGATTAGTAATATGCATTGCTAAGAACTTCATTTGAACAACTTTAAAGATGATTTTCTCAATATTTAGATTTTTTTGCACCCTCAGATTCCAGATTTTCAAATAGTTGTATCTCGGCCAAATATTGTCATATCCTAACAAACCATACATCAATGGAAAGATTATTTATTCAGCTTTCAGCTGATGCGCAAATCTCAGTTTCAATTGGTTTTGTGCTCCAGGGTCACATATAGTCAGAATTTTCATGTTTGGATGAACTATCCATTGCAGTTTAAAGTCTGCATGAAATGCAAATTCACTTTATCTGTTCTCTAAATGCACGTTACTGATCTTAATATGAATGATGAATGAATCATTGTGTTTTCATGCACTGCTCAGTTTTTTGCTTCTTTCAGACTAGTGGAAAGAAAACACCCCAGATACACATTTAAGTGTTTCTTTTATCACACTTTATCTATTTGCGTTTGTAGATTTCAATCCATATCGTTAAAGAGTTTTTTTCTCAAACACACACCAGATTTTACAGTTTTATTCCTCTCTATGTTCTGTAGGTTTGCTCATATTTTATTCGCACTGATTTAGAGCACAATTTACTCCTAAAAACATGGTGAAAATGTGTTTGTTTTCTGTCAGTTGATAAAAAGAGAAATCCAGAATCCTCTCTAGAAAAACCTTTAATAACCTGGCTTTATCCAATCCTCTGGAAATGAGTGCATATTTAATCTGATGGTGCCTCATTGCATATTAAACAACATTTCAGAAAACAATTATTTTAATGTACTGTGATTAATCTGCTGATATTTATTAGTTAATGTTTTTACCCTAATCACCTGTCGTATCTTGCCTCAAACATTTTTTGACCATGCACTATAACGACAGATTTATGCAGAATTTCTTTAGTCATGTATTCTGCTTAAACCCCGCCCCTTACAGTCCACTTGCATTCAAGCCACGCCCACATTCCAGCATCCAATCAGCATCTCACTCGGCTGTGTGTCAGAACTCTGTGGCTGCTGCAGTGTTTGAGTGTTTAAGTGTGTTGTCTCCGTGTTCAGATGCTCAGCCGGTGGTGCACCTCATCACCTCCAGGGGGCAGGAGTGGACGGAGCAGGAGGTGTCTGTGGAGGCGAGTCCCACCATCATTTACCAGGACATGACGGGAGAGTCTCAGTCGGCCACATCCACCATCAAAGCCCTGCTGGAGCTGCAGCAGACCAGCGGTGCGTATCTCTGGAGCGCTCCTGCTGCGTTGATTGTGATTTCACTTTTTTAACTTCAGTTAGTGTGCAATGTTGCTGTTTGAGCATAAACAATATCTGCAAAGTTAAGACGCTGAAAGTTAGACGCACACTAGAGGCGGTTTAGCCAATCACAACACACTGAGCCAGCAGACCAATCAGAGCCCATTGTGTATTTCTGTGGGAGGGGCTTCATAAAACCAGGGGCGTTCATAAGAGAAGGGTGTGTGTGTGTGTGTGTGTGTGTGTGTGTGTGTGTGTGTGTGATGTTACAGTGAAGGAGAAGAGCGACGCCAAACCACGCCAGCACACCATCGACCTGAGTCAGATGGCAGTGCCGATCCCAGTGACGGCGGAGAGGAGACAGTCCCCGGAGCCGTCGGGTCAGAGCGCCGGAGACACGGACCCGGTCACTGAATACATCCCCATCGGTAACATCAACACCTCACTCAGCTCAGTCACACTCGAAACATCTCATGATGCAGGGTCACTGCAGGTCCTGAAGAAGAAGTCATAAAAACATCATAAATGCACGTTGCAGCCTGAGATATGTGATTTATTTTGAGATGGATGGGTTCGGTCACACAGTATTCATTTTATTTGTGCAGGTCTTAAAGGGAGACTTCTGTCATCCTTTACTCACCCTCAACCTGTGTGTTTAACCAAACAGCTGTTGGTCCCCATTGAGTTCCATAGTATGGAAAAAAGTACAATGGAAGTCAATGGGTGCCGTCAACTGCTTGGTTATTACCAACGTTCTCATACAGGTTTGGAACAAGTGGAGGGTGAGTAAATGAGGACAGAATGATAATTTTTGGGCGAGCCGTCTGGGTTCGGTGCCTTGCTCAAGGGCACCTCAGTCGTGGTATTGAAGGTGGGAGAGAGCGCCCCACCTTATAATAGGAATAGAGTAGAGTAATGATATTAATAAAAACAGTATTCTTCCACCAAACAATGTAGCTCCTCAGAAACAGTTGTGGTTGCTACAAAGTGGTTGCCGAGCAACACACAAACGTAAACAAAAGTGTATGTTACTTTGTAGAGTCATTTACAACAGCTTCGAACGCGGCTCAGCCAATCAGAATCAAGCACCGGAACTCTCTGTTCTATATTTAGACTTTACTGTGATGTTGCTCTGCTGTTTCAGGTAAAGTGTGTAAGGCTGTGATCGGAGGAGACGTCACTGAGTCCAGCAGCCAGTCAGTGTCCTGTCCACCATCAGCAGTGCCGATGACAGCCACACAACAGGTCAGAACCACACAGTCATGTGACCACATATGTTTGTGCCACTGATTTACACTCCCGCGTCTGACGGGCATAAACGCATTTATACTACAATTACTTTACATGCATTCCTTGAACCATAACCTTGGCATTGAGCTACAGGAATGCATCTAAAACTGCAACAATAATGTTACGAGATTAATGTTTTAAATATGTGAATATTTATGAGAAACTTTTGGAAAATTCACTGGCAATTTTGTACCAGACTTGAAACTTCATGTGCATTATTTCATTAAAAAACAGGCAGAATAAATAGGGGAAACGTCTAATTGCAATTATTGAAACAACAATTATTATATGTTAA